CTCTATCCACCGGAGTACCTTCCCTCTCACTCCAGCCTGCATCTCCAACTTTCGCACTAGCCTCTTGTGTGGCACTGTATCAAAGGCTTTCTGACAATCCAAAAATATGCAGTCTGCCCTCCCTTCTCTTTCTTGCCTTATTTTTGTTGCCTGGTCGTAGAATTCAAGTAACCCTGTGAGGCAGGACCTGCCATCCCTGAACCCATGTTGATGCTGTGTTACAAAGTTCCTTCGCTCCAGATGCTCTACTAGTTTTTTTCGCACAATCTTCTCCATCACCTTGCATGGTATGCAGGTTAGGGACACTGGCCTGTAGTTCAGTGCCTCCTGTCTATCCCCTTTCTTGTATATCGGGACTACGTTAGCTGCTTTCCAAATATCTGGCAGTTCCCCTGTTGCCAGTGATTTGTTATACACTATGGAGAGTGGTAGGCTCAGTTCTCTTGCTCCTTCCTTTAGAACCCAAGGGGAGATTCCATCTGGGCCTATAGCCTTCGTCACGTCCAACTCTAGTAAACACTTCCTTACTTCCCCACTGGTAATCTCAAACTCTTCCAGTGGTTCCTGGTTAGCTATTCCCTCACTTACCTCTGGAATTTCTCCTTGCTCTTAGGTGAAGACCTCCTGGAATTTCTTATTCAATTCCTCACACACTTCCTTGTCATTTGTAGTGAATCCTTCCGCCCCTATCCTTAATCTCATAACCTGTTCCTTTACTGTTGTTTTTCTCCTAATGTGGCTATGCAACAATTTAGGCTGAGTCTTTGCCTTGCTTGCGATGTCATTTTCGTATTGTCTTTCTGCCTCTCTTCTCATCCTGACATATTCATTCCTGGCATTCTGGTATCTTTCTCTGCTCTCCAGTGTTCTGTTATTCCTATAGTTTCTCCATGCCCTTTTACTTTGCTGCTTAGCTAGCCTACATCTTTGATTAAACCATGGGTTTCTCATCTTCATTTCTCTGTTTTCCTTTTGGACTGGGACAAACTTGTTTGCTGCGTCCTTGCACTTCTGCGTGATGTAATCCATCATATCTTGGGCCGTCTTTCCCCTGAGCTCTGTTTCCCATGCTATATCTGTTCGGAATTTTCTTATCCCCTCATAGTTTCCCTTTCGGTATGCTAACCTTTTGGTTTCGGTATCCCTCCTCGAGTTCAATAACCCTTCTTCAATCAAGTACTCAAACACCAGTACACTGTGGTCGCTCATTCCTACTGGGTCCTCAAAACCGATTTCTCTTATGTCGGAGTCGTTCAGAGTGAAGACTAGGTCGAGTCTCGCTGGTTCGTCATTGCCTCTCATCCTTGTGGGTTCTCCGACATGCTGGGTTAAAAAGTTGCTTGTCACCACCTCCAATAGTTTGGCTCTCCACGTATCCTCGCCTCCATGCGGTTCCTCGTTCTCCCAGTCAATCTTTCCGTGATTGAAGTCGCCCATGATGAGCAGGTGGGATCTATTTCTACAGGCAGCAGAGGCTGCCCTCTCAATTATAGTGTTAACTGCCATGTTGTTGTTTTCATACTCTTGACTGGGTCTCCTGTCATTTGGTGGAGGGTTATATATTACTGCTACTACTATTCTTGGTCCTCCCATTGTTATGGTGCCTGCTATGTAGTCTCTGAACTCCTCACAGCCCGGGATGGCCATCTCCTTAAAACTCCATTCCCTTCTCATGAGTAGGGCCACTCCGCCTCACACAGTCACACAACGTGTGTGTGACTGTGAGGTTGACAGTGAGTGTGCCAGTGTGTGTGACAGTGTGTGTGACAGTGAGTGTGACAGTGTGTGTGTGTGTGACAGTGTGTGTGACAGTGTGTGTGTGACTGTGTGTGTGTGACAGTGTACTCACCTAATTGTGCTTGCGGGGGTTGAGCTTTGGCTCTTTGGTCCCGCCTCTCAACTGTCAATCAACTGGTGTACAGGTTCCTGAGCCTACTGGGCTCTATCATATCTACATTTGAAACTGTGTATGGAGTCAGCCTCCACCACATCACTTCCTAGTGCATTCCATTTATTAACTACTCTGACACTGAAAAATTCTTTCTAACGTCTCTGTGGCTCATCTGGGTACTAAGTTTCCACCTGTGTCCCCTTGTTCGTGTCCCACCCGTGCTGAAGAGTTTGTCTTTGTCTATCATGTCAATTCCCCTGAGAATTTTGTAGGTGGTTATTATGTTTCCCCTTACTCTTCTGTTTTCCAGGGATGTGAGGTTCAGCTCCTTTAGCCTTTCCTCGTAGTTCATTCCACCTAGTTCCGGGACGAACCTGGCGGCATACCGCTGGATCTTCTCTAACTTTGTCTTGTGTTTAACTAGGTATGGACTCCAGGCTGGAGCTGCATACTCCAGGATTGGTCTTACATAAGTGGTATACAGGGTCCTGAACGATTCCTTACACAAGTTTCTAAAGGCAGTTCTTATGTTGGCCAGTCTAGCATATGCCGCTGATGATATCCTTTTGATGTGGGCCTCTGAGGACAGGTTCGGTGTGATATCGACCCCCAGATCTTTCTCTCTATTTGACTCTTGCAGGATTTCACCTCCCAGATGATACATTGTGTTCAGCCTCCTGCTCCCTTCGCCTAATTTCATTTTCTTCTCATAATTTTTGTATCATCAGCAAACATTGACAGGAACGAGTCTATACCCTCCGGAAGATCGTTTACGTATATTAGAAACAGAATGGGTCCAAGTACTGAGCCCTGTGGGACGCCACTGGTGACATCTCGCCACTCTGATGTCTCCCCCTCACCGTTACTCGCTGTTTCCTGTTGCTTTAGTATTCCCTTATCCACTGGAGCACCTTCCCTTTTACTCCTGCCTGTTGCTCCAACTTTTTAACAGCCTTTTATGGGGTACTGAGTCAAAGGCTTTCTGACAGTCCAAGAAAATGCAGTCGGCCCACCCTTCCTTTTCCAGCCAAAATTTTGTTACACTGTTACAGTGTGTGTGACAGTGTGTGTGACAGTGAGTGTGACAGTGTGTGTGTGACAGTGAGTGTGACAGTGTGTGTGACAGTGTGTGTGTGTGACAGTGAGTGTGACAGTGTGTGTGTGACAGTGTGTGTGACAGTGTGTGTGACAGTGAGTGTGACAGTGTGTGTGTGACAGTGTGTGTGACAGTGTATGTGACAGTGTGTGTGACAGTGTGTGTGACAGTGTGTGTGACAGTGAGTGTGACTGTGTGACAGTGTGTGTGTGTGTGTGTGACAGTGTGTGTGACAGTGAGTGTGACAATTGTGTGACAGTGTGTGTGACAGTGAGTGTGACAGTGTGTGTGACAGTGAGTGTGTGACAGTGTGTGTGTGACAGTGTGTGTGACAGTGTGTGTGTGACAGTGTGTGTGACAGTGAGGTTGACAGTGAGTGTGACAGTGAGTGTGACAGTGAGTGTGACAGTGAGTGTGACAGTGAGTGTGACAGTGTGTGTGACAGTGTGGGGGACAGTGTGTGTGACAGTGAGGTTGACAGTGAGTGTGACAGTGTGTGTGACAGTGTGTGTGACAGTGAGTGTGACAGTGTGTATGTGACAGTGTGTGTGACAGTGTGTGTGTGACAGTGTGTGTGACAGTGAGGTTGACAGTGAGTGTGCCAGTGTGTGTGACAGTGAGTGTGACAGTGTGTGTGACAGTGAGGTTGACAGTGAGTGTGACAGTGTGTGTGACAGTGAGTGTGACAGTGAGTGTGACAGTGAGTGACAGTGAGTGTGACAGTGTGTGGGACAGTGTGTGTGACAGTGAGGTTGACAGTGAGTGTGACAGTGTGTGTGACAGTGTGTGTGTGACAGTGTGTGTGACAGTGAGTGTGACAGTGTGTGTGACAGTGAGTGTGACAGTGAGAGAGTGTGACAGTGAGAGAGTGTGTGACAGTGAGAGAGTGTGTGACAGTGAGTGTGACAGTGAGAGAGTGTGTGACAGTGAGTGTGACAGTGAGAGAGTGTGACAGTGAGAGAGTGTGTGACAGTGAGTGTGACAGTGAGAGAGTGTGACAGTGAGTGTGACAGTGAGTGTGACAGTGAGTGTGACAGTGAGTGTGACAGTGTGTGTGACAGTGTGTGTGACAGTGAGTGTGACAGTGAGTGTGACAGTGTGTGTGGGACAGTGAGTGTTACAGTGTGTGTGACAGTGTGTGTGACAGTGAGGTTGACAGTGAGTGTGACAGTGAGTGTGACAGTGAGTGTGACAGAGAGTGTGACAGTGAGTGTGACAGTGTGTGTGACAGTGAGTGTGACAGTGTGTATGTGACAGTGTGTGTGACAGTGTGTGTGTGACAGTGTGTGTGACAGTGAGGTTGACAGTGAGTGTGCCAGTGTGTGTGACAGTGAGTGTGACAGTGAGTGTGACAGGGTGTGTGACAGTGTGGGGGACAGTGTGTGTGACAGTGTGGGGGACAGTGTGTGTGACAGTGAGGTTGACAGTGAGTGTGACAGTGAGTGACAGTGAGTGTGACAGTGTGTGGGACAGTGTGTGTGACAGTGAGGTTGACAGTGAGTGTGACAGTGAGTGTGACAGTGAGTGTGACAGTGTGTGTGGGACAGTGAGTGTGACAGTGTGTGTGACAGTGTGATGTGTGAGTGAGTGTGACAGTGTGATGTGTGAGTGAGTGTGACAGTGTGAAGTGTGAGTGAGTGTGACAGTGTGATGTGTGAGTGAGTGTGACAGTGTGATGTGTGAGTGAGTGTGACAGTGTGATGTGTGAGTGAGTGTGACAGTGAGTGTGACAGTGAGTGTGACAGTGTGTGTGACAGTGTGTGTGACAGTGAGTGTGACAGTGAGTGTGACAGTGAGTGTGACAGTGTGTGGGACAATATATGGGACAGTGTGGGAGATAACGAGGATGGTTAGAAACTATATGTTGAAGCATCATTAATTATCTCCTTCCTCCTCCTCCTCTTTCTCTTCTCTCTCCTCTCAGGTGTTTACCTGGTCCTTCTCGTGTCATATTCCCACGAGACCAACACACCTTCCCTCCCTCAACCCTTCAAGGCCTCAACTAAAATAATATTACACCAACATCTCTATTTTAATGTTAAACACTTTACAAACAATACAAAAGTCAGATGTTGCCATGTTTTGGACGGTAGTTCGAGCTGAATCTTGGATTTAAGGAAATTATCAAAAACTGCAATGAACGAAGAATATGCTATTCCTCTCTTGTTCTGTTGTTCTCTTGTTCTTGATTTTTCTTGTCACGTGTTGTGTCCCCCGCGGCCCTGCAGGAGACCAGCCGCCCCTCAGGAGACCAGCCGCCCCCAGGAGACCAGCCGCCCCTCAGGCCCGGCAGATATACGCGGGCGCCACTCTGGTGATCTCGTAGTCCAGGAGGTAGCGTCTCTTGTGGGTCTGGTCGACGGGGACCAGCATGGTCGCCCTCTCTTTCCCGTCCTTCAGAGGTCTGTCCGGCGTCCACCTGCGGCCAGAGACAACAGCATCATGCATCAAGGTTAGCTCGGTATTATGTAGCATGATAATGTGGGTTCCTATAAGACCATGTATGATGTGTAATGGATTATTATGTTGTAGGTGGCACACATATGTTGTTGCAGAATATGTCATTGTGTTGCAGATGATGAGTCACAATGACGTGGATAAAGATATGGTGACCAAACCTCACACCAGAAGATGAGGAGACGTCATCACACATGACTTGATATTGGTCAATATTGGTCCAGGACGGACCGAAACGTCGTCGTTTCGTCAACTTCTGATGTATGTGTGGTTTGGTCATTCTGTAGTTATGTTACAGGTACTCTTGAGGTAAACTACAATATATATATGTAAAGAGGCACACCCACGAGCTGCTTCACACACACACACACTTGCCGGACAGGTGTCAGAGTGACAGTGAGGGGCGAGGAGTCGGACTGGCGTAGAGTAACAAGCGGGGTGCCTCAAGGGTCGCTGCTGGGTCCTATTCTATTCCTCATTTAAGTAAATGACTTGACTGCAGGAGTAGTCTTTTATGTCGATGTTTGCAGATGATGCAAAACTAATGAGGAGAGTTGAGACAGATTAGTAAGTGTAAGATCCTCCATGTCTTGAACAGGTTGCAGAGAAGGTTCGAGAAATGGCTGCTAGAGCTAGGGATGAAATGGGGACAGGAGCCAGGAGACCGAAATGTCAATATACGATGATGGGAAACTACCTCCCTATAACGTCTAGAGAAAAAGACCTGGGAGTGGACATAACACCAAACCTAACTCCAGAGGCTCATATAAATAGAATAACGGCAGCCGCATACTCTACTCTGGCAAGTCACAACATCCTTCAGAAACTTGGAAAAGAAGACTTTTAGTCTTCAAAGTCTTTATCTTTGTCTTTATCTCTTAGTCTTTATCTGTATACCGTCTATGCGAGGCCAGTCTTAGAGTATGCCGCCCAATCGTGGAACCTCAATCTTAAAAAAAAACATAAGGATGCTGGAAAAGGGGCAGAAGTTTGCAACAAGACTCGTCCTAGAGCTGCGAGGGATGAGGTACGAAGACAGACTGAAGAAACTAAACTTGACGATCTTAGAAAGGAGAAGGGAGAGAGGGGACAGGATTCAGACGTCTAAAATACTTAGAGGAAATGACAGGGTGGAAACAGAGGAAATGTTTACCAGGAATACCTGAAGAACGGGGGCACGGAGGGAAGCTTGAGACTCAGAAGTGTCGTAGAGATATTAGAAAGGTTTATTTTAGCGTAAGAGTAGTGAGTAAATGGAATGACCTAAAGGAGAAGGTTGTAGAGGCTAATTCAATCCACAACTTTACAAGCAAGTAAGATAGGGAAATAAGTCAGTAGTAATTGCATTAGACAACCAGCAGCAAGAAAATCAGGATCCAAGAGCTAGAGGTCGATCCTGTAGGCACAAATAAGTGAGTACACACCCACACAATACAAGATGTGATGGACCTAGTCAAGCGGAGTTGCAAGGCGGCCGAAGAGTTTTATGCCAACAGTAACAGATAAAATAATGGGAGGGAACATAACCCATGGTTTAATAGACAGTGTCAGGAAGCATAAATGAGAAGCAGGAGGGAAGAAGAACAGAGGACAACGGAATTAGAGGCAACGGTGCCAGGAACGAATACATTAATATAAGGGAAGTATCGGAAAGAAATTATGAGAACGATATTGCGATCAAAGCAATAGTCATATAAGAAGGAAAATTAATGTTGGTGAGGGGCAAGTGATTAGACTGTGGAAAACATAAGGGGCGTATACATAAAGCGACAAGGAACTCTGCGAGGTTGTAAGCGAGTTTCCATGGAGGGTTCACAACCGAGCCTGAGCAGTTCCCATTGGTAGAAGAGGAGATGACCCCAAGACGAGAGACTAACGGATATAGAAGTGATAGCAGAGAAGGTACTGAAACAGTTGACAACACTGGATGCAACTAAAGCAATTGGACCAGACAATGTATCACCGTGGATACTAAAAGAGGCAGCGCAGGCCCTCAGCGTGCCTCTGGCAAGGATCTATAATGAGTCACTTATGAAGGGAGAGTTGCCCAGTTGCTGGAAGAAGGCAAATGTTATACCAATTATCAAGAAAGGTGATACGGAAGAGACACAACTACAGACCAGTATCACTGAAAAGCATCCCCTGTTAAGTACTTGAAAGAATAATCAGGTTAAGACTGGTTACACACTTAGAAAACATTAGGTTTGTAAACAAACACCAACATGGGTTCAAAGAAGTGAAATCATGCCTAACAAGCCTTTAGAAATTGAATGATAAAGTAACAGGAATAAGGCAGGACAGGGAATGATGTGCAGACTGCATGTCTCTGGACTGCAAAAAAAACCTTTGCTACAGTACCGAACTGAAGACTGCTGTTCAAACATGAGAGGCAAGCAGGAGGGAGGAAATATCAAGGGAAAAACAATAAAACATTACGACTATATTTGCACTTGGAAGGGTAAGGAATAGGATTTGGGTTGGGACGGGAGAAAGGAATGGTGCCCAATCATTTGGACGGTCGGGGATTGAACTTCGACCTGCATGAAGCGAGACAGTCGCTCTAGGGGAAGAGCCCTAGCATGGGTAAGGAATTACTTAACAGGCAGAAGCCAGAGATAATCAGTAAGGGGCGAGAAGTCGGACTGGCAAGCAGTAACGAGTGGAGTACCTCAAAGATCGGTGCTGGGACCAATTCTATTTCTAATATACGTGTACGACATGTTTACAGGAACAGAGTCCTGTATGTCAATGTTCGCAGATGACTCCAAATTAATGAGAAGAGTTGTCAGCTGAGGATTGTAGGATCCTCCAAGAGGACTTGAAACAAGAGATGGTCAGAGAAAAGTCTACTGGAGGAGTTCAACACAAGCAAGAGTTACGTTATTTAAAATGAGATTAGGTGACCGAGACCAAAGGGACAGTACACAATGAAGGGGAATTACCTTCCTGTCACGATTCGAGAGAGAGACCTGGCGTGGACATAACACCTAATCTAACACCTGAGGCACATATAAATAGGATAACGACAGCAACGTGCTCAATGATCTTGGTTATCTTGAGATGATTTCGGGGCTTTTTAGTGTCCCCGCGGCCCGGTCCTCGACCAGGCCTCCACCCCCAGGAAGCAGCCCATGACAGCTGACTAACACCCAGGTACCTATTTTACTGCTAGGTAACAGGGTTTACCAGGGATACCAAAAGTTAGAACACCATTCAGTACCCTCAATAAGGAGGCATTAAAACTACTTTGTCTATGTGAGACCGGACTTATAGCATGCCCCCCCCCCTCATTGAGCCCCACCTGAAGAAACACATATGGAAACTGGAAAAGGTTCAGAAGTTTGCGACGAGGCTCGTACCAGAATTGCGAGCCTCGTAAGCGAGTAATAGTGATTGGGGTATGAAGAGCGACTGAAGGAACTGAACCTGACGACGCTGGGTAAGAAGAATAAGTGGGAAGATCTGAGCTACGTATAAAATACTTAAGGTGATTGAGAGTTTTTTTGTTTGAGAGAGATTGAGGTGATTGTTTCTCATAGACGAAATGTTCACAGTGAACACCAACTGAACAACGGAACATGGGTGAAGCTGGAAAATCAGATGAGTCACAGAGATGTTAGAAAGTTTTCATTTAGCGTGAGCGTAGCGGAAAACCCAAAATGAAATAAAGGAGAACAATTGTAAAAGCCAACTCTATCACAATTTTAAAAATACATATGATAGAGAGGAAAGACAAGAAAGGCGGGATCCAAGAGCTGATGCTCGATCCTGCAGGCAGAAATAGGTGAGTACAAATAGGAGAGTTATCTTGGTTATCTTGAGATGATTTCGGGGCTTTAGTGTCCCCGCGGCCGGTCCTCGACCAGGCCTCCACCCCCAGGAAGCAGCCGTGACAGCTGACTAACACCCAGGTACCTATTTTACTGCTAGGTAATAGGGGCATAGGGCGAAAGAAACTCTGCCCAATGTTTCTCGCCGGCGCCTGGGATCGAACCCAGGACCACAGGATCACAAATCCAGCGTGCTGTCCGCTCGGCCGACCGGCTCCCTGCTACCCCTACGACCGGCTACCCTACGACACTATGGTAGGGGTAGCTAGAGCACACACAGGGACACTATGGTAGGGGTAGCTAGAGCACACACAGGGACACTATGGTAGGGGTAGCTAGAGCACACACAGGGACACTATGGTAGGGATAACTAGAGCACACACAGGGACACTATGGTAGGGGCAGCTAGAGCACACACAGGGACACTATGGTAGGGGTAGCTAGAGCACACACAGGGACACTATGGTAGGGGTAGCTAGAGCACACACAGGGACACTATGGTAGGGGTAGCTAGAGCACCACAGGGACACTATGGTAGGGGCAGCTAGAGCACACACAGGGACACTATGGTAGGGGCAGCTAGAGCACACACAGGGACACTATGGTAGGGGCAGCTAGAGCACACACAAGGACACTATGGTAGGGGTAGCAAGAGCACACACAGGGACACTATGGTAGGGGTAGCTAGAGCACACACAGGGACACTATGGTAGGGGCAGCTAGAGCACACACAGGGACACTATGGTAGGGGTTAGCTAGAGCACACACAGGGACACTATGGTAGGGTAGCTAGAGCACACACAGGGACACTATGGTAGGGGTAGCTAGAGCACACACAGGGACACTATGGTAGGGGTAGCTAGAGCACACACAGGGACACTATGGTAGGGGTAGCTAGAGCACACACAGGGACACTATGGTAGGGGTAGCTAGAGCACACACAGGGACACTATGGTAGGGGTAGCTAGAGCACACACAGGGACACTATGGTAGGGGTAGCTAGAGCACACACAGGGACACTATGGTAGGGGTAGCTAGAGCACACACAGGGACACTATGGTAGGGTAGCTAGAGCACACACAGGGACACTATGGTAGGGGTAGCTAGAGCACACACAGGGACACTATGGTAGGGGTAGCTAGAGCACACACAGGGACACTACAAACTCTAATGTATAGTGATGTAAGGAAGGCCTTCTACAGTGTAAGGTAGTGAGTGATAGTGATAAGGAAGGTCTTCTACAGTGTAAGGTAGTGAGTGATAGTGATAAGGAAGGTCTTCTACAGTGTAAGGTAGTGAGTGATAGTGATCAGGAAGGTCTTCTACAGTGTAAGGTAGTGAGTGATAGTGATAAGGAAGGTCTTCTACAGTTTAAGGTAGTGAGTGATAGTGATGTAAGGAAGGTCTTCTACAGTGTAAGGTAGTGAGTGATAGTGATAAGGAAGGTGTTCTACAGTGTAAGGTAGTGAGTGATAGTAATGTAAGGAAGGTGTTCTACAGTGTAAGGTAGTGAGTGATAGTGATAAGGAAGGCCTTCTACAGTGTAAGAATAGTGAGCAAGTTAAACAAGCAGGTAGTTGAGACTAACGACACGGGTAGTTACAAGAACTGTATATGACGAGAAGGAAGTCTCGGGCCAGTGTACTAAGCAACTCGGGGACTGAAAGCCGGGGACCCAGAACCCGAGACTTTCCTTGAATGCAGATGTATGCGTGTGTACACACTTGCACTAACCCCTACACACCTCCACAAGCGTGTGTACACACTTGCACCAACCTCTACACACCTCCACAAGCGTGTGTACACACTTGCACTAACCCCTACACACCTCCACAAGCGTGTGTACACACCTCCACAAGCGTGTGTACACACTTGCACTAACCCCTACACACCTCCACAAGCGTGTGTACACACTTGCACCAACCTCTACACACCTACACAAGAGTGTGTACACACCTCCACAAGCGTGTGTACACACTTGCACCAACCTCTACACACCTCCACAAGCGTGTGTACACACCTGCGCTAACCTCTACACACCTCCACAAGCGTGTGTACACACCTGCACCAACCTCTACACACCTCCACAAGCGTGTGTACACACCTGCACTAACCTCTACACACCTCCACAAGTGTGTGTACACACTTGCACTAACCTCTACACACCTCCACAAGCGTGTGTACACACCTGCACTAACCTCTACACACCTCCACAAGCGTGTGTACACACCTGCACTAACCTCTACACACCTCCACAAGCGTGTGTACACACCTGCACTAACCTCTACACACCTCCACAAGCGTGTGTACACACCTGCACTAACCCCTACACACCGCCACAAGCGTGTGTACACACCTGCACTAACCTCTACACACCTCCACAAGCGTGTGTACACACCTGCACCAACCTCTACACACCTCCACAAGTGAGTTTACACACCTGCACCAACCCCTACACACCTGCACAACAACTGTGCAACATATGGCTCACTTACACATTTGATTTGAGGTTGATAAGCTTTCCGTTGACCCATTTCCAGGTGCCGGCGTAAGTGCGGCCACCCACCCAGTAGATGTATCCGGCCGTCGACTCAGCTTGGGGAGAGAAGTAAAGTTTAGAGAAGTAGAGTCAAGTCATGGCTCCGCTAGTCTAAAGGAACCACACAACGCATTTCTCATTCTGGTGAATTTTTATATTAAAGTAAATACTGTAAAGTTATAACACGCTAGTTCAAGAGAGCAGTGATTTCTTCAGGGTTAAATAAAGTCAAAATATCAGGTCACATCAAGATAGGTCTCACGAGACAACAAAACGTCCTCAACTTCATACCTGGGAATTTCTGATCGATGTATCTGGAGATAAACTGGATCTTCTCCCATTCGTCAAGAACGATAAGGTCGCCGCCAAGTTTCTTGCAGCCGGCCCTGGCCGCCTCCCACGTCACGGCCGGGCGGACTGGTCGAGGGGCTGCGCGATCACCACGCGCCCACACACGTCCTCCCCCAGGCGCTCGAAGGGCGGAGGGCACCCTGTCGGGCGAGAGAGACAACCGACGGTGAAGGAAATATTATATGTTGGTAAGGCGACAATGGTGACCTAGGTATGGGTACAACTTACTGTCACGAGAGAGGAAGTGACACTTACGGTGAGCCAGCACTGGGACAAGGCCGGCTACGGTGACCAGGAGCAAGACAGGTACAAACGTCATCTTCAACACCCGAGGAAGAGTCACACCCAATATAGAGGTGTTGTCAGCAGCAGGTGAGGCGTCTATAGTGAGCTCTACACACACACGAGCCTCTATTTATACCCAGCACCTCAGCCTTCTCTCTATTATATCATTAATTTCTCACAGTATATCGTCAGCTTCATCATCAGTTAGGACATTCTTCCTGTATTTGTCATGTTTCTCACCAGCTGTGACTCCTCGAGGTATTTCCCATCTCTTATATCGTAATAATGTGCGCATGTGAGGTTAAAACTGTCGCAGTTGTTACGAATCACCCAATTTGGGTAGTCCTCACATGAGTGGTTACAGCCAAGGAAGTGAGGCACAGGAGGACACAGGATTTATAAACACAAAACTGGTTTGAATACTTTTTATTGGTTTAATTTACACAAATAATGTTTTCTAAATACAATTTGAATCGTCGGAAGAGATAATTATAAGAACAGATTACAAGTCTGGCTCGGCCTGGCTAAACTTCTGTGAACTGGTTTCAACAGACTGTTGCAACAGCTCTAAGACCTTGGATAGCGAGGGTGTTGGTCGGGGTCCCAAGATCCGGGTCACAGGGTCCGGGGACGGCCGTACGGGTCTAGACGAGTAGCAAGACCCTCCACCAGCCATAGCACTGAAGCAAGACCCTCCACCAGCCATAACACTGAAGCAACACCCTCCACCAGCCATAACACTGAAGCAACACCCTCCACCAGCCATAACACTGAAGCAACACCCTCCACCAGCCATAACACTGAAGCAAGACCCTCCACCAGCAATAACACTGAAGCAAGACCCTCCACCAGCCATAACACTGAAGCAAGACCCTCCACCAGCCATAACACTGAAGCAACACCCTCCACCAGCCATAACACTGAAGCAACACCCTCCACCAGCCATAACACTGAAGCAAGACCCTCCACCAGCCATAACACTGAAGCAAGACCCTCCACCAGCCATAACACTGAAGCAAGACCCTCCACCAGCCATAACACTGAAGCAAGACCCTCCACCAGCCATAACACTGAAGCAAGACCCTCCACCAGCCATAACACTGAAGCAAGACCCTCCACCAGCCATAACACTGAAGCAAGACCCTCCACCAGCCATAACACTGAAGCAAGACCCTCCACCTGCCATAACAATGAAGCTAGACCCTCCACCAGCCATAACACTGAAGCAAGACCCTCCACCAGCCAGAACACTGAAGCAAGACCCTCCACAAGCCATAACACTGAAGCAAGACCCTCCACCGGCCATAACACTGAAGCAAGACCCTCCACCGACCATAACACTGAAGCAAGACCCTCCACCTGCCATAACAATGAAGCAAGACCCTCTACCAGCCATAACACTGAAGCAAGACCCTCCACCAGCCATAACACTGAAGCAAGACCCTCCACCAGCCATAACACTGAAGCAAGACCCTCCACCAGCCATAACACTGAAGCAAGACCCTCCACCAGCCATAACACTGAAGCAAGACCCTCCACCTGCCATAACAATGAAGCTAGACCCTCCACCAGCCATAACACTGAAGCAAGACCCTCCACCAGCCATAACACTGAAGCAAGACCCTCCACCAGCCATAACACTGAAGCAAGACCCTCCACCAGCCATAACACTGAAGCAAGACCCTCCACCGGCCATAACACTGAAGCAAGACCCTCCACCTGTCATAACAATGAAGCAAGACCCTCTACCAGCCATAACACTGAAGCAAGACCCTCCACCAGCCATAACACTGAAGCAAGACCCTCCACCTGCCATAACAATGAAGCAAGACCCTCCACCAGCCATAACACTGAAGCAAGACCCTCCACCAGCCATAACACTGAAGCAAGACCCTCCACCAGCCATAACACTGAAGCAAGACCCTCCACCAGCCATAACACTGAAGCAAGACCCTCCACCTGCCATAACAATGAAGCAAGACCCTCCACCAGCCATAACACTGAAGCAAGACCCTCCACCAGCCATAACACTGAAGCAAGACCCTCCACCAGCCATAACACTGAAGCAAGACCCTCCACCAGCCATAACACTGAAGCAAGACCCTCCACCGGCCATAACACTGAAGCATGACCCTCCACCTGCCTTAACAATGAAGCAAGACCCTCTACCAGCCATACACTGAAGCAAGACCCTCCACCAGCCATAACACTGAAGCAAGACCATCCACCTGCCATAACACTGAAGCAAGACCCTCCACGTGTCATTACACTGAAGCAAGACCCTCCACCAGTCATAACACTGAAGTAAGATCCTTCACCAGCCATACCACTGAAGCAAGACCCTCCAACAGCCATAACACTGAAGTAAGACCCTTCACCAGCCATAACACTGAAGCAAGACCCTCCACCAGCCATAACACTGAAGCAACACCCTCCACCAGCCATAACACTGAAGCAACACCCTCCACCAGTCATAACACTGAAGCAAGACCCTCCACCAGCTATAACACTGAAGCAAGACCTTCCACGAGCCATAACACTGAAGCAAGACCCTCCACCAGCCATAACACTGAAGCAAGACCCTCCACGTGCCATAACACTGAAGCAAGACCCTCCACCATCCATAACACTGAAGCAAGACCCTCCACGTGTCATTACACTGAAGCAAGACCCTCCACGTGTCATTACACTGAAGCAAGACCCTCCACGTGTCATTACACTGAAGCAAGACCCTCCACGTGTCATTACACTGAAGCAAGACCCTCCACGTGTCATTACACTGAAGCAAGACCCTCCACGTGTCATTACACTGAAGCAAGACCCTCCACCAGCCATAACACTGAATTAAAACGCTCCACCAGCCATAACACTGAAGCAAGAACCTCCACGTGCCATAACACTGAAGCAAGACCCTCCACGTGTCATTACACTGAAGCAAGACCCTCCACCTGTCATAACACTGAAGTAAGATCCTTCACCAGCCATAACACTGAAGCAAAACCCTCCAGCAGCCATAACACAGAAGCAAGACACTCCACCAGCCATAACACAGAAGCAAGACCCTCCACCAGCCATAACTGGTGATATTCAGAGTTTTTGGTTATTCTTTTGGCGAGTGCGGCCGTCCTCGATACGGCCGAACTCGCTGGATTCCTTCCCGTTCTGATGCATATCAAGACTTGTTTGGTCCTGCTTCGTGGGCCAAATACTTTGATATCCTCCCTCTTGATTCTGCGCCTCCTGACGAATTCTCCCTTCATAGGCACCTTGTTGATTCCGTGGATGCCTCTGTTACCTTCATCCCCACTCGTCTCGGTACACGTGTCGTTGCTGCTCCTTCTCAGGATGCTGCTTCCCGCTTAGCTGCTTTATCCTGCCTTGGCGAGACCCCTGTTCGGGGTCTCCAATAACGCTCAGTTGAATGCCAGTGTTGGCACTATTCTTCTCCCGCCCCATGTTGCGGCCGGTGTTCGGAATCTGCAGGACTGCCATGATAATATTCGGCATATCCTTGAGGCCCAGGGCCATTCTGTCCTCCAGGTGGACACGTTTACTCGTCCCCTCGTGGTCGTCGCCGTCAACCGCTTCGGGTTGTGAAGATTACCTTTGATGGTAGGACCCTTCCACCCTCTGTCATTCTTGCTGGTGCCAGGTGCTCTGTCCAGGAGTACATTCCTTCTCCTAGGCTCTGTAACAAGTGCTGGAGGTTTGGGCATGGTGCTCTCCGCTGCTCTGGGACTGTCTCTCTCTGTCCTTTGTGTGGGGGCGAAGGTCACTCTAAGTGGAGTGCACTTCTCCCCAGGCTCGCTACCTCAATTGCGGTGAGGCCCATCCTACCTTCTCCCGTGCGTGTATCCATTACAAGTTTGAGGCAGCCGTCCTCAACTTGAAGCACCGGGAGCGTTTATCTTTTCCTGAGGCGAGACGCCAGGTTCGCCGGCTCCCGCCTTTTGCTAACGTCTCTTATGGTCCCTTGTTGCGCTCTTCCTCTCCTCGTCCTTCCCACCTTCCTCAGACTCACAACCGTTTCCGGGCTTTGGACCCTGATACGCCCACTGCCCCTCCTCTGTTCCTTTGAGTTCTGTCCCGAAGGGTCCCCCTCCTGGTCCTCTGTCTGGGGTTCCCCTTCTTTCTGCCCGGTCTGTCTTGTCTCCTGTGTCTTCTTCCTTGTCTCTCTCCGATCCTCTTTCCCTTCCTTCCCTCCGTCTATTGACTCTCCCCGCTGCCTGTCAGTACGGGCTGATGTACATCGTTCTCCTACTGGCCGTAGTGTGTGCTCTCGTTCAGCTTCTGTTGAGACACTGGAATCCGTTGCCCGGTAAGTAGTTGCTGGGACACCGGTCTTTTTAAGTCAGAAGCGTAAGCCTGGGTCCTCTCCTTCCTCCTCTCCGGCAGGTATGAAGGCTTCGCTTTCTTCCTCGGTCCCTACTTCTGCCTCTATCGCTCCTTCCCCTCCCATTTCGGTGGTTGTGCCCCTGTTCCTGCTATGGAGGTTTCTTTGGCCCCGCTTCCCTCTTGGTTGGTGCCCTTGCTGAGGTACGCTACCCCCTTTCTACTACTCCTCTTCCTGCTGCTGTCCTTGACTGATCCTCTCGGTTGTCTCCTCCTCTTCCTCCTCCTCCTTTGGACCACGCCCATCCGCCTCTGGTCTGTTCTCCTGCTTCCTTCCCTCCGTCTTTGCTCAGTTTACCCATGCCCCTAAACCTGACTTTGCTCACCCTGATCCCGACCCTGATCTTCTTTAACGTGCTATGGTGCTCTTTCGCCTTTGTTTCTTCCTTGTTCTCTGTTGTTGTCCTTTCTCTTCTCGTCGATGTCTATTCTTCAATGGAATGTTTGAGGTTATTACGCTAATTTCCTTGAACTCCAACTTCTGATTTTACGGTTTTTGCCTCTTTGTGTCTGTCTCCAGGAACCGATGCTTGGTGCTCGTTCTGGCCGCTGGGAAGCGGAAGCTGTCCGCTCTTGTCCCATCTCTCGTAATGGTATTCCTTATTCCGACTTTTACCAGGTTATCCATTCCTCCATCCTTACCCGTTGGCAGGCTTATTGGTCGTCTGTTACTGGCAACAAACTACGTTCTCTTAAAGGTTGTGTGTCCTCGTGGCCGTCCTCCTGCCAGCATAACTGACGATGGGAAACGGCTCTGGCGAGGTTGCGTATTGGCCATACTCGCTTAACTCATGGTCACTTGATGGAGCGCCGCCCTGCTCCTTTTTGTCTTAATTGCATTGTCCCTCTTACGATCGTGCATATCCTTGTTGAATGTTCTGACTTCCAGAACGAGCGTGTCTTGTTTTCCGACCATCCCCCGCAGTCGCTTGTCTCTCGATAGTGTTCTTGGTGACTCTGATACTTTTGATATCGTTCGCCTTATGCGTTTCTATTCTCGTATTGGCGTCCTTGGTGATATTTAGCGCCCTCTGATTATCCAGCACATTTGATGGTGCTACATAACCTTCCCGGTTTGGTGCCTTCTTTTTGATAATTACTTACTTCCCTGGCGGCAGCATCCACACGCTCATTTAAAGAGACACCAATATGGCTGGGAACCCAACAAAACTCAACCGACTTAAATTAACTGTGAACAAGAAACACCCAATGCTGGATCTCGCCAACCACTAGATGAACCAGATTAAAGGACCCAAGAGCCATGAGGGAACTACGAGAGTCGACAACAACAACAACAAAGGAAGATTGACAACGAGACAGCAGGAGACGAAGAGCATAGAGAATAGCATAAAGCTCTGCTGTGAAGAGGCTAGTCTCCGGAAGTAAGCGACACATATAAGTGCAATCAGGAAAAACAACAAAGTAGCCAACCCCGTCCGCAGACTTAGACCCATCGGTGAAGACGGAAACGGAGCGGGAGTGAAAAGAAAAGTGCTCAAGGAAAAGGCGTTTTAGAACCGTAGGAGGGGTAAAAGCGTTAGTGATGTGGGTCAAGGATGTACAAAACTGCGGAAGGGGGAACACTCTATGGGGTTAAAGAAGGAACAACACGAGGACGGCTGGGGCAACGTTGTGACACGTACTCACCCAACTAGGTGGGTGAGTACAAGGAGAAATATTAGAAATACGAACGGAAAGAGAATCCTGTAAGCGAGATAACCAGACAGAAAGAGGGAGGTGGTGAAGAGGAATAGGAACCACAGGAGGGGTAAAAGTTAAAGCACGACAGAGGCGAGAGGAAGGATGTTGCAAGGACTGAGCAAGATAGCGAAGACAGTAGCGATCACGTCGGTCCTAGAGAGACAGGAAGCCAATGTCAACATACAAGCTGAGGACGGGAGTCGAACGAAAGGCACTAGAACTAAGAAGTAACCCAGTATGGTGCAAAGCATCAAGACAGCGAAGAGTAGGAGAAGCAGTCGAGTAAGAAGGGCAACCATAATCGAGCTTAGGCAGGACGAGAGAGGAATGTTAAGCAAGGAGAGTGCGCCTATCCACTCCCCAAGAAGTATGGGACAATACCCGAAGGAGAGCAAGGGCCTTAGAGCACTCAACACTGAGGTAAGAGATATGGGGAGACCAAGACAAACGAGTATCAAAGAATAACCCCAAAAGATTCACGGAATCTTTGTACTCAAGGGGATGACCATAAAGTTACAAAGTGGGACGAAGAACGACCTGCACAGGAGAAGGCAGGGTGGGCCTCAATACAATTAAGGCAGCGAGCCTGGGGAGAAGTGCACTCCGACTTAGAGTGACCTTCGCCCCCACACAAAGGACAGAGAGAGACAGTTCCAGAGCAGCGGAGGGCACCATGCCCAAACCTCCAGCACTTATTACAGAGCCGAGGAGATGGAATGTACTCCTGGACAGAGCACCAGGCACCAGCAAGAATGACAAGAGGGCAGAAGGGTCCTACCATCAAAGGTGATCTTCACAACCCGAAGGGGTTGACGGCGACGACCACGAGGGGGACGAGTAAACGAGTCTACCTGGAGGACAGAATGGCCCTGGGCATCGAGGATATGACGAATATCATCGTGGCAGTCCTGCAGATTCCGAACACCGGTAGCAACATGGGGTGGGAGGAGAATAGTGCCAACGCTGGCATTCAACCGAGCATTCTTGGAGACTCGAACAGGGGTTTCACCAAGGCAGGACAAGGCGGCCAAGCGGGAGGCTGCATCCTGAGAAGGAGCAGCAACGACACATGCACCGAGACAGGTGGGGTGGAAAGTAACAGAGGCATCTACGGAATCAACAAGGTGGCTATGAAGGGAGAAATCGTCAGGAGGTGCAGAATCAAGAAGGGGAGATCAAAGTATTTGGCCCACGAAGCGGGACCAAACAAGGCCTGATACGCATCAGTATGGGAAGGAGTTGAGCGAGTGCAGCCGTGTCGAGGACGGCGTTGAGAACCCCCAGAGAGAGAGGGGGGGTAAAAGGCACAGAAGTCACAACGAGAGATTGAACCGTGCCAGGGGACGAGGTGGTCACAAATGGGGGCTTGGGGCTCGACCCAACCACAGAGGAGGGAGGGGAGCCGAGGGTAGTAGTCAGAGAGATCAAAGGAGGAGCAAGGTCGGGGCCCAATGCAGCGGAGGCTACAGAGCCAGGTCTTCCAACACGGTCTGACTCGGGGGCTTGGTCGCCCACCCCACGAGCCTGAGAAGGTAAAAGGGGAACAGAATGTGACATAGGTACGAAAGGGAAAAACATTCATTCATGAATGTGTTCCCACATCCACCAAGGAGCCACAATTAGAGGCAGGACACCCAACAAGAAGCTATCGCCGACCATGTTGGGGCCTCCTAGGGGTGCGTCGTGAGTATACACCCCACAAACGCCACCTTAAGAACTGTCAGTCCGTTGAGATCGGGTTCAGTGACGAAAGGAGAATTGACAATAAAAGGTTTCCCTCGCTCGCGACATTGGGTACTACAGTTCTACAGGTGCAAGAGTATGCCTCCTCAAGCACCCGGGCGTCAAAATAGAAGAAGTCCAAAAGAAGAAACAAAACAAGCAAAAGGTCGGCAGGAAACGACAAGCAGATAGAAGAAGTGGGGGGAGAAAAATGAAACATAAGGAAAAGGAAAAGGCATCCAGCAAAATTTGTGAGGACAGCAGCAGGAGCACAAGGCTACAAAAGGGCAGGGGACCGCCCTAAGGAGCATCACACTCTGGCAGCCGGCCACCAAGCCCCTCCACGGCAACAACAAGCTGGACAGGGAGGGGACATAACCCTGAAGCAAGACCCTCCACAGGCCATAACACTGAAGCAAGACCCCTCCACTGGACATAACACTGAAGCAACACCCTCCACAGGCCATAACACTGAAGCAAGACCCTCCACAGGCCATAACACTGAAGCAAGACCCCTCCACTGGACATAACACTGAAGCAAGACCCTCCACCTGCCATAACACTGAAGCAAGACCCTCCACCGGCTATAACACTGTAGCAAGACGTTCCACCAGCCATAACACTGAAGCATGACCTTTTATCTGCCTTAAAACTGAAGCAAGACCCTCCACTTGGCATAACACTGAAGCAAGACCCTCCACCAGCCATAACACTGAAGCAAGACCCTCCACCAGCCATAACACTGAAGCAAGACCCTCCACCAGCCATAACACTGACGCAAGGCCCTCCACTTGGCATAAAACACTGAAGCAAGACTTCACTGTTCTGTAACCTCCGTCACTGTTCTGTAACCTCCATCACTGTTCTGTAACCTCCGTCACTGTTCTGTAATCTCCGTCACTGTTCTGTAACCTCCGTCACTGTTCTGTAACCTCCGTCACTGTTCTGTAACCTCCGTCACTGTTCTGTAACCTCCGTCACTGTTCTGTAACCTCCGTCACTGTTCTGTAATCTCCGTCACTGTTCTGTAACCTCCATCACTGTTCTGTAATCTCCGTCACTGTTCTGTAACCTCCGTCACTGTTCTGTAACCTTCGTCACTGTTCTGTAATCTCCGTCACTGTTCTGTAACCTCCATCACTGTTCTGTAATCTCCGTCACTGTTCTGTAACCTCCGTCACTGTTCTGTAACCTCCGTCACTGTTCTGTAATCTCCGTCACTGTTCTGTAACCTCCGTCACTGTTCTGTAACCTCCGTCACTGTTCTGTAATCTCCGTCACTGTTCTGTAACCTCCATCACTGTTCTGTAATCTCCGTCACTGTTCTGTAACCTCCGTCACTGTTCTGTAACCTTCGTCACTGTTCTGTAACCTTAGTCACTGTTCTGTAACCTCCGTCACTCTTCTGTAACCTCCGTCACTGTTCTGTAACCTCCATCACTGTTCTGTAACCTCCGTCACTGTTCTGTAAAAGTTTCTACTCTCCCCCTCTGGGAGAGGGGGAGGGTTGGGAGAGAGGTGAGGGTAAGGAGAGGGGGAGAGGGTAGGGAGAGGGGGAGGGTAAGGAGAGGGGGAGGGTAGGGAGAGGAGGGTGGGTGAGAGAAGGGGAAAAGAGGGTAGATGGGAGGGAAGAAGGGGAGAGGAACGGGGGGACTGGAAAAGGGTGTAAGGAGGGGGGAGTGGAGGAGGGGGAACAGGGGGGAGAGGGAAATAGAAGTGGGGTGTAATGTGGCAGGGGAGGGGTGATGGGAGAGAAGAACTACCCCGTGGTCCTCCTCCTCCTAGTAAATACATGTTGCAAGCCACAATAATCTGGCTAGTAACAAATCATTCACCTTGACCATCGGTAGATTCGTATCCGGGACCACAAAAACAGAGGTCCGTCGTTCTACCAACATTACTATGTGCGCACAATGGACTAAAGCCTTCCGTTTTACTGATCTCGGGATCGAAACTCTGATGCTCTAAGTGAATGAAATGTTAGTACCCACATTATAGAGGTTTTGAATCTATATGACGAGGACGCAGACCACCTAAACACCTCCTCGCTCAGGTGTGCCCCACGGAAAGTTGTAGCTCTCAGTTCAATACCAGTTCGGTGCCTCTGGGATCCTTCCATATTGTGGGCGCTCCTAGCAGGGTTGGTAGAGCTCCCGGGTGCTGGAGTGCGTCTTGTTGATCACGGGGCGGGACCCCAGGAGAGCCTCCCGCCCCGTGACCCGGGGCGGGACCCCAGGAGAGCCTCCCGCCCGTGACCCGGGGCGGGACCCCAGGAGAGCCTCCCGCCCCGTGACCCGGGGCGGGACCCCAGGAGAGCCTCCCGCCCGTGACCGGGGACGGGACCCCAGGAGAGCCTCCCGCCCCGTGACCCGGGACGGGACCCCAGGAGAGCCTCCCGCCCCGTGACCCGGGACGGGACCCCAGGAGAGCCTCCCGCCTCGTGACCCGGGACTTGATGTAACCGTTCACACCTCACATGAGCGCCGGGGCGCCCTCCCAGATAGGCGGAGTTACCGGTTTATCCGGTGGACTGATGACCTGTGGGTCAACGCTCTCTTCTTGCCTTAACACTAGTTGTTGGGCAGAGCGGCCGCCGGCGTTGGTGACACTTGTGGTTGGTTACTGACACCATGTGTATTGACACCATGTCTGTTGACACATCGACAGTTGACACATCGACAGTTGACACTATGACTGTTAACACCACGTGTGTTGACACTACGACTGTTGACACAATGACTGTTGACATTACGACTGTTGACACTATGACTGTTTACACTACGTGTGTTGACACTACGACTGTTGACACTATGACTGTTGACACAATGACTGTTGACACCACGTGTATTGACACTACGACTGTTGACACTATGACTGTTGACACTACAACTGTTGACACCACGTGTATTGACACTACGACTGTTGACACTATGACTGTTGACACTACAACTGTTGACACCACGTGTGTTGACACTACGACTGTTGACACTACGCCTGTTGACACTATGACTGTTGACACTATGACTGTTGACACCACGACTGGTGACACTACGACTGTTGACACTATGACTGTTGACACTATGACTGTTGACACCACGACTGTTGACACTACGACTGTTGACACTACGACTGTTGACACTACGACTGTTGACACTACGACTGTTGACACTATGACTGTTGACACCACGACTGTTGACACTACGACTGTTGACACTATGACTGTTGACACCACGACTGTTGACACTACGACTGTTGACACCACAACTGTTGACACTATGACTGTTGACACTATGACTGTTGACACTATGACTGTTGACACTATGACTGTTGACACCACAACTGTTGACACTATGACTGTTGACACCACAACTGTTGACACTATGACTGTTGACACCACAACTGTTGACACTATGACTGTTGACACCACGACTATTGACACCACGACTGTTGACACTACGACTGTTGACACCACGACTGTTGACACTATGACTGTTGACACCACGACTGTTGACACTATGACTGTTGACACCACGACTGTTGACACTATGACTGTTGACACCAGAGAACATTCAGCGGTATGCCACCAGGCTCGTCCCGGAACAGAGAGGAATGAGTTACGAGGAAAGGCTACAGGAGCTGAACCTCTCAACCCTGGAAAACAGAAGAGTAAAGGGAGACATGATAACCACCTACAAAATTCTCAGGGGAATTGACAGGACAAAGACAAACTCTTCAGCACGGGTGGGACACGAACAAGGGGACACAGGTGGAAACTCTAGTACCCAGATGAGCCACAGAGACGTTGGAAAGAATTTTTTTGAGTGTCAGAGTAGTTAGTAAATGGAATGCATTAGGAAGTGATGTGGTGGAGGCTGACTCCATACACAGTTTCAAATGAAGATATGATAGAGCCCATTAGGCTCAGGCACCTGAACGACAGTTCATTGACAATTGAGGGGCGGGTCCAAGGAGCCTAAGCTCAACCCCCACAAGCACAGTACTGCCCGCAGGTGCTGCTGGGGGCAGTACTGTCTCTGGTGCTGCTGGGGGCAGTACTGTCTCTGGTGCTGCTGGGGGCAGTACTGTCCCTGGTGCTGCTGGGGGCAGTACTGTCCCTGGTGCTGCTGGGGGCAGTACTGTCCCTGGTGCTGCTGGGGGCAGTACTGTCTCTGGTGCTGCTGGGGGCAGTACTGTCTCTGGTGCTGCTGGGGGCAGTACTGTCTCTGGTGCTGCTGGGGGCGGTACTGTCCCTGGTGCTGCTGGGGGCAGTACTGTCCCTGGTGCTGCTGGGGGTAGTACTGTCTCTGGTGCTGCTGGGGGCGGTACTGTCCCTGTTGCTGCTGGGGGCAGTACTGTCTCTGGTGCTGCTGGGGGCAGTACTGTCTCTGGTGCTGCTGGGGGCACTACTGTCCCTGGTGCTGCTGGGGGCAGTACTGTCCCTGGTGCTGCTGGGGGCACTACTGTCTCTGGTGCTGCTGGAAGCACTACTGTCCCAGGTGCTGCTGGGGGCAGTACTGTCTCTGGTGCTGCTGGGGGCAGTACTGTCTCTGGTGCTGCTGGGGGCGGTACTGTCCCTGGTGCTGCTGGGGGCAGTACTGTCCATGGTGCTGCTGGGGGCAGTACTGTCTCTGGTGCTGCTGGGGGCAGTACTGTCTCTGGTGCTGCTGGGGGCAGTACTGTCCCTGGTGCTGCTGGGGTCACTACTGTCCTTGGTGTTGCTGGGGGGCACTACTGTCCCTGGTGCTGCTGGGTGGCACTACTGTCCCTGGTGCTGCTGGGGTCACTACTGTCCTTGGTGTTGCTGGGGGGCAGTACTGTCCCTGGTGCTGCTGGGGTCACTACTGTCCCTGGTGCTGCTGGTGGGCAGTACTGTCCCTGGTGCTGCTGGGGGGCAGTACTGTCCCTGGTGCTGCTGGGGGCACTACTGTCCCTGGTGTTGCTGGGGGTCAGTACTGTCCCTGGTGCTGCTGGGGTCACTACTGTCCTTGGTGTTGATGGTGGGCACTACTGTCCCTGGTGCTGCTGGGGGGCACTACTGTCCCTGGTGCTGCTGGGGGCACTACTGTCCCTGGTGCTGCTGTGGGGCAGTACTGTCCCTGGTGCTGCTGGGGGCACTACTGTCCCTGGTGCTGCTGGGGGGCAGTACTGTCCCTGGTGCTGCTGGGAGCAGTACTGTCCCTGGTGCTGCTGGGGGCACTACTGTCCCTGGTGCTGCTGGTGGGCACTACTGTCCCTGGTGCTGCTGGGGGGCACTACTGTCCCTGGTGCTACTGGAGGCAGTACTGTCCCTGGTGCTGCTGGAGGGCACTACTGTCCCTGGTGCTGCTGGGGGCAGTACTGTCCCTGGTGCTGCTGGGGGGCACTACTGTCCCTGGAGCTGCTGGGAGCACTACTGTCCCTGGTGCTGCTGGGGGCACTACTGTCCCTGGTGCTGCTGGGGGCAGTACTGTCTCTGGTGCTGCTGGGGGCACTACTGTCCCTGGTGCTGCTGGGGTCACTACTGTCCCTGGTGCTGCTGGGGGCACTACTGTCCCTGGTGCTGCTGGGGGCACTACTGTCCCTGGTGCTGCTGGTGGGCACTACTGTCCCTGGTGCTGCTGGGGGCACTACTGTCCCTGGTGCTGCTGGGGGGCAGTACTGTCCCTGGTGCTGCTGGGAGCACTACTGTCCCTGGTGCTGCTGGGGGCACTACTGTCCCTGGTGCTGCTGGGGGCACTACTGTCCCTGGTGCTGCTGGGGTCACTACTGTCCCTGGTGCTGCTGGTGGGCAGTACTGTCCCTGGTGCTGCTGGGGGCAGTACTGTCCTTGGTGTTGCTGGTGGGCACTACTGTCCCTGGTGCTGCTGGGGGGCACTACTGTCCCTGGTGCTGCTGGGGGCACTACTGTCCCTGGTGCTGCTGGGGGCACTACTGTCCCTGGTGCTGCTGGGGGCAGTACTGTCCCTGGTGCTGCTGGGGGCACTACTGTCCCTGGTGCTGCTGGGGGCACTACTGTCCCTGGTGCTGCTGGGGGGCACTACTGTCCCTGGTGCTACTGGGGGCACTACTGTCCCTGGTGCTGCTGGGGGCAGTACTGTCCCTGGTGCTGCTGGGGGGCACTACAGTCCCTGGTGCTGCTGGGAGCACTACTGTCCCTGGTGCTGCTGGGGGCACTACTGTCCCTGGTGCTACTGGGGGCACTACTGTCCCTGGTGCTGCTGGGGGGCACTACTGTCCCTGGTGCTACTGGGGGCACTACTGTCCCTGGTGCTGCTGGGGGCAGTACTGTCCCTGGTGCTGCTGGGGGCACTACTGTCCCTGGTGCTGCTGGGGGCACTACTGTCCCTGGTGCTGCTGGGGGCACTACTGTCCCTGGTGCTGCTGGGGGCACTACTGTCCCTGGTGCTGCTGGGGGCAGTACTGTCCCTGGTGCTGCTGGGGGCACTACTGTCCCTGGTGCTGCTGGGGTCACTACTGTCCCTGGTGCTGCTGGTGGGGGCAGTACTGTCCCTGGTGCTGCTGGGGGCACTACTGTCCCTGGTGCTGCTGGGGGCAGTACTGTCCCTGGTGCTGCTGGGGGCACTACTGTCCCTGGTGCTGCTGGGGTCACTACTGTCCCTGGTGCTGCTGGTGGGGGGCAGTACTGTCCCTGGTGCTGCTGGGGGTCACTACTGTCCCTGGTGCTGCTGGGGGCACTACTGTCCCTGGTGCTGCTGGGGTCACTACTGTCCCTAGTGCTGCTGGTGGGGGGCAGTACTGTCCCTGGTGCTGCTGGGGGCACAACTGTCCCTGGTGCTGCTGGTGGTACTACTGTCCCTAGTGCTGCTGGGGGCACTACTGTCCCTGGTGCTGCTGGTGGTACTACTGTCCCTAGTGCTGCTGGGGGCAGTACTGTCCCTGGTGCTGCTGGGGGCACTACTGTCCCTGGTGCTGCTGGTGGTACTACTGTCCCTGGTGCTGCTGGGGGCACTACTGTCCCTGGTGCTGCTGGTGGGCACTACTGTCCCTGGTGCTGCTGGTGGGCACTACTGTCCCTGGTGCTGCTGGTGGGGGAAGTATACTGTCCCTGGTGCTGCTGGGGGCACTACTGTCCCTGGTGCTGCTGGGGGCACTACTGTCCCTGGTGCTGCTGGTGGGCACTACTGTCCCTGGTGCTGCTGGGAGCACTACTGTCCCTGGTGCTGCTGGGGGCAGTACTGTCCCTGGTGCTGCTGGGGGCAGTACTGTCCCTGGTGCTGCTGGGGGCACTACTGTCCCTGGTGCTGCTGGGGGCACTACTGTCCCTGGTGCTGCTGGGGGGCACTACTGTCCCTGGTGCTGCTGGGGGCAGTACTGTCCCTGGTGCTGCTGGGGGGCAGTACTGTCCCTGGTGCTGCTGGGGGCAGTACTGTCCCTGGTGCTGCTGGGGGCAGTACTGTCCCTGGTGCTGCTGGGGGCAGTACTGTCCCTGGTGCTGCTGGGGGCACTACTGTCCCTAGTGCTGCTGGGGGCAGTACTGTCTCTGGTGCTGCTGGGGGCACTACTGTCCCTGGTGCTGCTGGGGGGCACTACTGTCCCTGGTGCTGCTGGGGGCACTACTGTCCCTAGTGCTGCTGGGGGCAGTACTGTCTCTGGTGCTGCGGAGGGCAGTACTGTCCCTGGTGCTGCTGGGGGCAGTACTGTCTCTGGTGCTGCTGGGGGCACTACTGTCCCTAGTGCTGCTGTGGGGCACTACTGTCCCTGGTGCTGCTGGGGGCACTACTGTCCCTGGTGCTGCTGGGGGCACTACTGTCCCTGGTGCTGCTGGGGGCACTACTGTCCCTGGTGCTGCTGGGGGCACTACTGTCCCTGGTGCTGCTGGGGGCACTACTGTCC